ACTTAAAACAAAAATATTAAACAGGAAATGAAAAAATTATAATCACCTTCCCCGCAGATTTATGAAATTAACACTAGACCCATGCTAAAATCGAATGTGCTAGCGGCCATATTTAACACACATTTCTTAAATAACTTTCTTTCTCTTTAACACATTTAAGTGATTTTTAACAATTAAGAAAACTAATATGCCCGATAGATCACTCTCAGGATGAACAAATGAAGCTGAATGTAAAAACTAAAATCAAAATAGGAAGAGTGCCGCTGGACACTCCTCTCCCTCACTCTTTTCAATGCCTTACCACTATTATTCTTACTGACAGCATACTGTCTGATTGTTGGCATTTCTGACTGGTGCGGATGAAGAAATAAAGAAAAAAAATATATATAAACACATTTGTTTAGTTTTTAGTGACATTTTAACATTTAGTAATATGTTATCACCACATATATGTTTTTGCCATCTCCTTCTCTCCTGACAGTCTCCTCCACCCATACCTCTGTTAACCATTCCTTCCTTGACGCCCTCATACCAGTTCTCCTTGGGCAACCTTTCTTCCCCTTCATTGCCGATTACCAATCCAAAATTCGTTTAGACACAAAATTAATGAAAATATTTAGAACCCACAATTAATTCGAAGGTACGACAATGTCTTTTCCTTTTCCAATCTCGGCCCTGTTTTAAGAGAGAACACTTGGCAGGATTGCAGTAAACGAATGCAGTGGACAATGGACACTGCCGCAACCTAACCCCCCGAGGAATGCACACACCCCATCCATTTCAGATTCCACATGGGGTCCCGGGTAACGGGCGAACATGGAGTGTCCTGGGAAATCACCATGCGATGAAGTTGGCACTTTACTGCAGGCCCTTCCAATTGGCTGCTTCAGATTTTGCAGATAGTTGAGCAGCAAATTGATGTAATGAAAGTCATATATATACATTTTTCATTTGTTTAATTAATTAAAAAGATTGCACAAATGTCGAGGCAATATAATGTCTTTTTAATCCAATTGTTTACTACCTTGCAATGACAAGACAACCAATACACTTAAAGAAAACGATTTAATTCAATATTGAGACAACTTCTCTGATTTATTAATTTTTTACATCTAATAAGAAAAGTTTGTTGGGGATTGCAGTTAATGAGAAATGAATGGTGGCTTGTATGTTTATTTTGTTGTTTAGATAAGTCTGACACCTGTGTGCACTTATAGTGAATTATTGCATCCTAGCCATTAATGAAAAAGAAAATAGAAATAATTGAGTATGTTATTCATTTAGGGAGATGAGTTCACTACTTATGGAAATTTGAAATGGTCTGCATTTTTGGCGTGTACAAATTGTAATCTAAATCGTCTTCAGTCTTAGTTTTAAGTGTTAATTTTTTTTTTCTTAAGAAACGGGACTTGGTGTAAGTCTTTTATCAAATGGAAGTACTGACACTTTTCAGTTTGAAGTTACTGGGTTATTGTCAAAGTAAACTGGTTAATGTGTAACGTAATAATTTGTATAACTGAAGTGTAAATGTAATATGTTGTGATATATCGTGATGCAATTCTAAATGTAAAACAATAAGTGTTATTTAAATTTTTATATAATTTGTAATAAAATAACTGATATGTACTTAAATACACCAGTGAAATTGTTGAATTGGATATAGTATAATTTTTCTATATTATATCCAAAAGATGTGGACTTAAAGATATCGAAAATAGCATATTTAAACAAAAAATTTTTAAAACATTAAGTAAAATAAACATGGACACAAACATCATTAGACCCATCCCAGAATTAATAATACCTTATTGGAAAAAATTTAGACCAGTGATAAATAGATCTATGGCCAAAATATCAAGTACATACCCGACTGAAATCCAGAAATCGTTTTTAAAACTGGCTGAAAGATATACAAATTTTGAGTCCATATACCCGGATGCATCCAAGGAAATAAACAGTGTAGGGTGTGCTGTAACAAATAAGGAGAATCAACTACTATTTAAACTGCCAGGTGAATGCTCCATTGTTACAAGAGAGGCGACTGCCATCATGAACAGTCTTATTATGTAAGAGATTCTGTGGAAAAGTGCTGGGTCGTCGTAACTGACTCATGGAGTGTCTTAGCCGCTATCGACAACCCATCCCCAACTAATTCTATTATTAAAGAAATATTAAATGTATGGTGGGAAGTAAAAAGCAAAGGAATGTCAATAGTGTTCGTTTGGGTGCCAGCCCACTGCGGCATTGCGGGAAATGAAAAAGCTGACCAAGCAGCCCATTTAGCAAGGAGTGAAGAAGAAACGGCGGAGATAAGACTAAAGAAAATTACCTTAGAAGACTGGCTACACCACGCAAAAAAAAAGACTACAAACAGAGTGGGAGAAGGAATATGAAATGAAAGACTGCAAAATGAGAGAAATAAAACCTAATTGCCACAAATGGATCACAAGCTACAGAAGTTCAAGGAGAGAAGAAGTTATGCTTTGCCGACTAAGGGTAGGCCACTGGCTACCTTCTGAGAGGAGTCGAAGCGCCCACGTGTGATAAATGTAATAACGTACCACAAACAGTGAAACACTTACTGGAAGAATGTCCTCAATTTGAAAGTTATAAACAAAAAGCAGGCTTAGCAAGAACATTAAAAGAAATCCTTCAAGATACTGAAGAAACAGTCAATACTTAGTTTGAATTTTTGAAGTTGACAATATTACAAAAGAATATAAATCATAGTAAAATGCCAATGACCTTTGAGGGCAGAGGCGCGAAAGAGAGAGAAAACAAATTTCTAGTTTGTTATTTAAGTTCTTTTACTAGATACAATTTTTTTTTCTTCCGAAACCAGTTTCATCACATTTTTATTGGTTTGTTTGATACCCAATACTGACTTCGACATCTAGGCAATGGGAGTGTTTCCAGTAGTTTGATTGATATTATGCATGTCTGCAAGCAATCTGACTATTGCAAGTAAATTTTCAGTGCGATCATAAACTTATAGTCGAGCTGAGTAATGGTAGGGAAAAAGGAATAAAATGAAAAAGTGAAAGAGGAGTGGGTTCGTGCCTTTAATTATGGTCGCAGTATGTATAAATTTTTATTTATTTTTTAACTAAACTTGATAATATAGCACAAAAACAATATAATAAAAATCGCGATATGAAGTTGGTTGATTTTCCAATGCAATGTTTTTAACATAAACATATCCCTTTCTGTATTTATGTTACTATGTATAATTTTTGAAATGGTGCCTCTCATTGCTGCTTTATTTATTTTTCTGTCAGTGTAAAGGAATTTTATTATCAATGTAGGAAATTGTTTATCGATTGAAATTAAATTTCAAAAAAGTAAAGCCGGGATTTAGGGATTTTTTTCTTTTCCGCCTGTTATTATTTTGTCGTTAGGTCGGGGTAATTTATTTTTACGCTTCACCTGCGCACTGGTATATTCAATTTTTTAACCGTTTCAGGTATCTGTCAGCTTATGGAGGTGACGTAATATTTAGATAAAAATTATGAACTGAATGTGAATACAATTATTAACAGTATGAATAGACTGTAAAATAGTTTTTTTTTTTTTACTATTTTAGTCTTTTTATGACGTCACCCCAGACCATCTCCTTACACTCTATTGTTATTAGTTGCCTGTAATCTCAAGTAATATCAAGTAAGTTACCTGTAATTATCTGGATTTTCTTATTTGGCACAAATCTGAACGGAATTTAGATAACGGATTAGCTCAATTAATAAGAAACTCCTATACTCCAGGTCCAGGATTCGTATCCGGCTGTGGAAAGTCGAATTTATTCTATTACTTTTGTCCGTGGATAGAATGTTCTAAAGCATGCTGAGCCTCTTAAACTAGATATTCTTAATAAAAGGAAAAACCTAGTATTTGAGCGTGATCTCAGTCAAGTCACTAATAAATCTTTCCACAATTGTTGATATAGGAACAGTACTTCCTTACACAGTAATTTACCTGACTGTTCCTGGGTTTTAGTGGTACAGCTTTATGAATATAATAACTTTAAAATAAGTTGGAAGTTGAACTTAGAAATAGGAGGTAAAATGTCTTAGACGTAATATCATTTATTTTACTCATATTGTATTTACTTTTAAATTATAAGCTTATTGAAGTATACGCATGTTGAATTATACTTATGTACATATCAATTTTTTTTTATGTTATATGAGTTTCCATTTCATATAGAGAAACGAGATATATAAAAAAGTATCTAAGATAGTTTATATTACATAGAAATAACGTACGGTAAACGTCTTTAATAAATTTTCCAAAACTTGTAGACATAAACAATTAAAACAAAAATTTAAATTTAAAAAGTCATATTTTTTATATTTTGTGCAATTTTATTCTTTATTCTTTATTTTATTATTTATAAATGAATTTTTGTCAATCACCAAAAAAAAACTAATTTTGTTTCCTATTATTGTATTGCCGCCATTTCGGCTTCATGACACATTTTCAAGTACTATAATTTTTAAACAAAACTAAGGTAATTTCATTGATATTACGGATTGATGTAAGTCCTCTTATCGGGTTTTAATTTTCTCATGATGCAGAAACGACGGAAATAAAGGAGGTATAATCAAATCCTATAATTATTAACGATTGCATTAAAATATTAAATTAATGCAGAACTAATTTACTTTTTTTCTGTCTTGAATCCATTGTTAGTAGCCATATATTTAAATTAGTTGTGAAAAAATAAAGTTTTATTGTGCTTTGTAAGCAGCTTTATTAGTTTCATGAAGTTTGCTTTTGATGACGAAGCGTTATTAGATTCATGAAAGTTGCTTATAAACAAGAGTTCAAGCAATCTTTGCTGTCTTAAAATGTTTGTTTATTCATACGAATATTTTCTTAGCATTACGGGTGTTGTAACGGTTGTTACTACGCGGTTGTATATAATTCCGCACACTCATTCGCAATTATAATATTGAAGTATTCAACATATGGTACCAGCATGGTCCTTGAATTAGAGCATAATGGCTCTCCCTATTACGTCTAGGCAAAGAAGTTGGACACAAAAGAATTCAATGGGTCAGGCTGAAGTACGCGCGTTAAAAAAAAGAAGTGATGTAAAAACCGGAGTACTATTCCCTAGCTAACGGTCACATTCCACGGAGGAACCTGACGGGATTCGCACAGCTGAGCCACCGCTTCCTCTGTCACTCCAACAGCGTTACCTTAATTACTACGGGCTAAAGAACTTGACTAAGTAAGGATACGAAAAAAACTGTGGAGGGTAACGGGTCCCTTACTGAATAGCGGGAGCGTAGTTTTCTAAATTACCGACGTCAAATATGTGTGCACATTTGCTTTGTTTTAACTTACAACAGGAAGTCGCAATAAATGGGTCACCTACATCAATTATTTTTCCTTGTTGATTCGGTTGATATTCTTCGTATGATGAAAGCTCTGATGACTTAGTTCGAAACGTCGACATAAAGTAAAATAAAAAAAGATTTTGTTTTAGTCAAAAAATAATTTTTTTTTCTGTTGTTATTACAGACATTGTAGATCTTTTGCTGTCTTAACAAACCTACTCCGTCTCTGCCTGTCTTGGGATATTTCTTTCCATTTATCTGCGCTCTATTGCATCTTTGTGTTGATTCTATCTATCCATTTCTTTGTTGGCCTTCCACATGATCTTTTGCCTTCTATTGAGCCATTCATTGTTACTTAGAGGCTTCCAGATGGATTGCTGAGAGCTACATGCCCCGCAAATCTTAACCTCCGTGCCTTCATATCATGGGATATTGATAGACCAATTTCTGTAAGCAGTTTGTTATTGGTCTTTCTTCTCCCTGTGTTAATTATTTGATCCCAGATTGCTCCAGTTATCTTGCGGAGTAAAATAACTAAGTAGTGACTTAGTAAAAAAATAATTTCTAAAAAGCTAATATGCACTACGCCGACTGGCAAGCGTCCGAGGGGTTGACCGAAGCGAAGGTGGGAGGATTGCTTTGAGGCTGACCTAACGGGCCTAGGTTTAGTCGACGGACGATGTATGGAAAAATGTAATATATACCATATACCGCAGTGATCCGTGGTATCGTCATCGAACCCGCGGGTTCGCTAAGCCATATTATTATTGTTAATTATTTTATTTTGGTTTATACTACATCAATGAATATTGGATACTTATCCTGGCGTTCGAGGACCTTAGAAGCCAAGAAACAAAAAAAAAAAAAAAAAAAAAAAAAAATATATATATATATATATATATATATATATATATATATACACACACATAATTTTAATAATGTTTTGTATTATTATTTTTAGCCTTTTTTCTCTGCGGATTCAATGTTGCTTACAGGTCAATATTTATTTTGTGTGTTAAATATGAAAATAATATTGCCAAGAAAAGAATATTATAACAATGAGTTCGAATGTCTAAGAAATTACATAAACCAAAAGGTGCTTCCAGTAAAGTATACCAAGTATATTTTATACTCGGTGATAGAATTCTACTTTTCGTAAATATTTAAATTTTGTTGTCATTTTCCTGGAGGATTTCTTCCATTCCTGTTCCCATCTTTGTAGCAATGAAGCCACTTATATCTAAAAATGTTGAGGCTTTTAATCCTCGCAGAAGGTAACCGTAGGAAAACTCACAATTAATAAAGTAAATTTTAATGTAAATTTCAGAAAGTAATTTTTTTTATTAATTGGGAATTTTTTTATTTAGAACTGTTAATCATGCATGAATTTTCATAGAAATAAAAATACATAATTTGCTTTACTCAACCGCCAGGTTTCTCACTTCAATTAATTATATAATTAAAAGTACCCACTTTATATAGGCTTTGTGTGCCCCGGAGATGATCCCAGATTCGATCCATGTTATTTGACTGAATAAATAATTACCTGCCACATCCAGATTGCAACACGGTATCTTAAGCATAGATGATCAATACCTTACTCACCGAGATACCCCGCACTCTATGGTACCTTTATGAGGTAAAAATAAATTAAAATTTCTCAACTCTTTTAAACAAACTCTGTTCCTAAGCGCCCGATAATTTTCGTGAGGACCAGCGGAGTCGTCTTGAAATTATAAGTTTTATAATTTTGAAAAAGAAAAAAAAAAAAATATTTTTTGCTTGTTATAAAAATTCATATTTCGGGATATTTTAAGGTACGAAAAATAAGTATATTATTTCTAAATATATAATTTCTACTATACATAGATCATTTATGTTAGATGGATTTTTCTTAAATGTAACAATTAAATCAATTACAAATATTAAGTTTTAAATTTACTTAAGGTACAGTATGGCTTCAAATAATTATAATATCTGTTTAATATCATTATTAGGAACATTTTAATTGAAGCATGGAAATGCAAAAGGTTCTAATAAAATAATGAAGTATTGGGAATTTTGAGTCATTCTGGTGGAATAAAGTTTTCAGTCGTTACCCATTTTCCCTCGTTTTTTATTCTGTTTCCACTTGACGATGCTTTTCGATCTGTTGAGATCAGCATTTCCTCAAGCGTGAAGCACGAGCTCTTGACTTGGGTAACAGAAAGGAAAACTAGGAAATTTATCTCTGCTTTTTGTATAACAACTTGATTGGATCAACTTCTGTTATGGTTTGTTTTTCCGTTCCAATGCCTCCGGGGTCGTTAGAATCTCTGGGCATCTAAATCCATAAATAAATTTAATGTAGCACAGAGCTATCCTTTATACTTCAAATAGAAAACAGTAAGTAACCAACTTTCAAATATTATTTGTTAGGACCCTAAATGTTATTACTAATGCTGACTATTATAATTGGACTTTTATTAACGTTTAATCTATTTCAAGTTAATTATAAAGTAGTGCGCGTACTCTCATTCTCTAAAATGCTCTAAGCCTATGATGTCCAGCCGATAAAAGGCATTTTATTACCAAATAATAGGTAGTATTTTTATTTCATAATTTTTTTCTATAGGAAAATGTTATAAGCGTAAGTCTTAATTATAGCCATATTCCTCTTGTCCCATTTTGCGATCGTGAAAATGATCGAATCTGAGTTTTCATCGGATATAGACGTTTTGAGGTCCCTTGAGTCCAAATAACCAAGTCTTGAAAAATGATCTGCGCGCGCGCATGTGTGTGGTAAATTCAATTTAAAAATTTTGTAATAGCCCAATTTTTCCACAAAATGATTTCTGTTCAGAGTAGAGATTAAGTAAAAGTTGTGTGCTGACCGCACCAGATTTTTAATTTAAAAATAGCTTATTTTAATCTATATTAGTAGTTTATTTTTTCAAGATAACTTATTAATGAATTTCTATTAATCTATTAGTCTTTTTATTATGCCTTCATTTTATTTTTATGATGCTAACGTATTTTATTTTAAATATTGCCTATTGCAGTTATTATTCTATTTGCTTCGTTTGTTTGGTTTTTTGTGTTAAGATTGGTCAATCCAAGTCTTGTTTTGCCAATATACTACTTAAATTTGGGGGCTTACGAGTCACACTAATGTAACTACAAATATCCTATTTTTTTAAGACAGCTGCAAAATTTATATTTGCCTTTCACCTAACTATTGCAAGACCAAGGCCAGGCCTGGTAAAAATACATTCAAAAAATGTTTTTGAATAAAAATTAAGGCAGAATATTTACCAATACTTGATAATTTTAGTTACTATATGTAAATAATTGGTATAAACAATATACTTTTGCATTTAACTCCTCTAATTTTTTATTCGCGCTTAGTTAAGTTTCTCCTATCTAAAAGATTACAACAATATCTCTATAGTAATAAGTTAATAAGTAACTGCAAGACCGTTGCGAGACTCTTGAACAAGACCAAGACTGAGTTTGCAAGACCCGTTTCGGTCTCGCATTGGCACCTCGCACTTACTGGCACCTGCCCGGAACATATTGGACATATTTAAGAGTCTGTCCGTTCTTGTTATTTAGTTAGAGTAGGCGTGAATTTGGAGGCTGATGTTCATGCTGTGATGATGTTTGTATTAATTATCTTTAATCCTATTATAATTTTTCCTAGTATTCAGTGATTTTTGTGTTCGTGTTTAATAGTAGACAGAAATTAATGTCCCAGTTCCTAATCTTGTCAACGTATTTTTCGTTTTGACTTTTAAAAATTATATACTTATGTTTTTACCCGATAAATATTTTAAAAAATTCAACAATTTGTTGGTATTTTCGATCAATCAATTAATTTAGTGAAATGGATCTCACAGATCCCGTAGCTATCTTCGAAATGTGAAGGACATTAATAATATTGATGGAGTGGTTCATTCAACAGCCAAAATAATTCAGTAGTTTTAAAAGAATGTATCTTGTGAGTTTTATAAAACTTATATATAAATAAGATGCTTACATAAGGACGTATATTTAATTAAAAGGTGTCCTAATACATGGACATTATGATTATTTATTGGTCGTAGAAAACTATGACACAACAGAGTCAGAAGTGTCCCCTCTAAACGGACCATCGAGATCCTCCCCACCGAACGCGAGGCTTGAAATATTCAGGAAGATCCTGGTCGGACTGAGGGATGAAGCCGTTGGTCGGATGAATGGTGTGGCAGATCGGGACAGACGGGGGAGTGACCATGGTGAGTCACCCCTGATTGTGTTAGCGACCTACCCCAAGGCTGCAAGCGTAGGCTGGGAGCGATCAATCTGCAGCTGTCCTAGATCGATACTAGTTACTGTCTAGGCTAGGGGAAGCGGCTCTGTAATCACCTATTGTAGATAAATAATTCTCTGCCAGCATCTGCCAAAAATAATAATGACACTTGTATCTATAAGTAAAATTTCTCATAAAATATCTTCTCAATGATGGTAGTGATGGCGAAAGAATTTTTATTTTATGTTATTTATTTTTATTAAATATTAATACATTCTGCCGCATTGAAGGCCATTAATATTAAGGCTACATTAATCATTCAATTTTTATTTTACAATTAATCACCCGGAACAAGCTGGTGTTCCACAAGGATGTCTCCTTAGACCATTTTTAAAACGTTTATAACTGCCAAAAATAATAGTGACACTTTTTATTTATATAAACTCATTTTTTTTTTTTTTTATAGAGTAATATAACATCATGCCACTAGGACAATAGTTATAGTGGTAAGACTACATTCGCACTACATATAGAGAAAATATAAAATAAACAGAAACAAAAACAATTTAATAATAATCAAAAAGTAAATACAATGAAATAACTTAAAGATAAGAAAGCTAAAAAACAAAAACAAACAGACATACCTATTTAGAATCAGACGAGGGAACTTCGAGGTAGGCTTGTCCTTCCAACTATGGAGGGAAAAGCATGATCCTAGGGGATCCTTTCGCTACTCTTTCAATCCCCTCTCTGGTACTAAACAAAAAACGGTGTTTGGCAAATTCCTCTGCAATATCTTCATGAGACAAGAGCCATCACCTAGAAAGAAAGGATGTGAAATATGATGAGGTTTTAACAGCTGAAGTATTGGGATCTGAAGGTTGCTAATTCCTGATCTAATTGTTTACAGTAATAATTGTAGGAGTGGCGATCAGTAGGGTGTCTGGTACGTTACCATAATTTCGCACGTTATTTGGTGTGGATTATTTTTCTTAAGAGTTCTTGAGGAGTGATGTATGGGAGGAAGCAGTCCAGATAACTATTTAAATTGTGATGGCAAAGGAATGTATGTATTGCCAAGGTCATTTGGAGATTTTCATGGTTATTTTATGGCCAATTTTAAAAAAAATTCTTATAAAATATCTTCTTAATGAATGACGCCACTGAAATTCTGCGCTTGGATTAATAATTGCGAAACTTCAAATATATGGACCACTGGTTTTGTAATAATTAACAACCCACACGATTGTATACTTTCAACTATGCAGTCGTCTTTCGAACTTCGGAGTTAACCATCAGATTCATGATGGTGTTATAATATAAAGATTCTTCCTTGGACCAAATATTTTTTTATTTTTATACAAAGTATTAATGATGTGACTTCAACTGATATCGCAACTCTTTTAACAGAAGACACATGCTTACTTATTTCCTTTGATACAACAGTAAACCATTTTCCTAAAACAAAATAAAAATATTTTAAATAATTTCATATATGGAAAATTAGACCTAACCGTCTTAAATCAGAAGAATGTACGCATGAATTTTAAGGATGTCAGAAATCTGACATGTTGAATTATACTTATTGGGTTTTAGCTAGAAACCGATAGTTTCAAACTAATTTAAGTATCCCGAAAATTATCTTTTCAAACCTTATTCTTTTTTTTAAACATCAAGTTCTTTTTTCTTTTAAATATTAAGCACATTTAGTGTAAAAAAAATTTTTTAATGAAAGGTTTAGTTATTTATTGTTAGCTGTTAGGTACCAAATGAATCTAGGATTAATTTACAATAGTATGAGAACATTACTACACGTTTATTTAAAATCTGATTATTAGATTTTTTTCCCGAACTCCCAATCTGAATAATCTTATGAAATATGTTACGTAGGAGCTTCAACTTTTTTCTGAAACGATGTTTAATTTAAAAGCTATTTTGAGGTTGCGTTTTCATGCAGTCTTAAATTGCGAGTATTTTAAGAGGCGTTGGGGCAAGTCTTTTTTGATTACTAGAAGTTTTTAAACCAATTTATTTTTCGCCATTTTGTTATCATTCATCGGGACTGATAAACAATGATATCTAATAACAGATTAGAATGTCATTTTGTTTATTCTGCTATTATTTTTGTTTAAAAGAATCACAATGTAGTAATAGTTAATATTACTATAATAAAGTAATAGTTAATAATAAAGTGTCGGTAATATTATGCAATTTATGTAGTTTGGGTTCCACGAAATAATATTAATTACTGTTAAAATATCCATTTAAGTGTCGTACACATAATATGATATTTTACTCGATCATTTACTAAAAACCCGTATAATGGAGCATTAAGAGCCGCCCTAAAAGTGATTTAGATATTACCGACGTCGGTGGGTCATCAATCCATATCATGCAAGCCTTGCTAACACTTGGGATGATGGAACTGTTGTTCAAACAGGGGTGGGATAAGAGTGAGTCATAAACTGGGGAACTAAGAAGAATGATACATGAATCATTTTCTGCATCCCTCCGATACTCAGTAAATATTTTAAGTAAGTAGGGTGTCGTGTGCTTAAAGGGAGAGAAATGTGTACTGATATTACCCGCACCATATTCAAACTGAAACATCCTTCTTTTCTTTTAGAATTTGGAGCACGCATCTTTGTCGTCTGGATTATCATATTAAAGATATTATATATGATAAATTTTCTTATAAGAGAAGCAGACGAAATCGGCGTACATGTTAATGAAAATTAAAAAAAAACATATGATAACCTAAAAACTTCACCCAATAACAGAAACTGTGCAAAAGGAATAATCGTTTCCAAGAGTAGACAAATTCAAATAACTCGCCTCCACAATGACTTTGATGATAGTGGATTTGACTTTAATGAATGAACGATCGGAAATAGAGCAGAGAATAACGAGGACAAACAGCGCTTTGTTCACTATTTCAATGATATTGAAATTATTAAAAAATCAAGAAATCTCAAATCAAGGATATAAAATGCGATGTTAACGCCAGCTCTCATATATGGCTGCGAGATCTGAAACCTCACCAGCACCCTAGAAAAAAGTATTAAAAAATTTGAGAGAAAAATCCTCCGTACAATAACCGGAGCGACTGGGACCGGAGTACTTACCGGACTTAGCGATCCACTATCCAGAAGCCTCTACACAACAATGAACGCCTCAAATGAAGACAAAAGACCACGTGGAAGCCTAAGATAGGCAGAGATGGAGAAGGCTGATTAAGGCAGCAAAAGGATTGTAATTCCGACAGGAAAAAAATAGACCAACTTTGCAAAGCGGTTTGATCAGCGTTAATTTTTTAATTTCTCCGTCTTTGGTTTCATTTTTATTACAAATACTGTATGTTTTAAATTATTTAAAGAAGATTGAATTATAAAAAATAGTTTTTTAAATAGCTTTAGCTATTTCTCTCTGTAGTGTAAATATGTTCTGTCTTTTTTTTGCGACCTGATCAAGATAAGTTAATATAAAATTTTCATGGGGCCCACCGTCTCTTAAGTCGACTCCAATATGATTTAGCCATTTGGAGGACCAAATAATGTAGGAGAAATCGTCATAAATTGACCATCTAATTATTTTTAATGACATCATATAACTAGTTTTCACTAGTAGTTAAGATGACAATCTCAAAGTCAAACTAGTGTAATAAACATTTGTTCTAAAGCAAAAACGAACCGTTGGAAGGCGAGAGATAATTTGAAAAAAGCTATCATCAATACATCTCTGCTATATTGTGTCCATTTATGGAGTCTACGATACATAGAGCTCTTAGAAAATATCAGCACAAATTTCTATAAAAAGACATATTGGATATGTAAAACTACTCCAGACTTTTTAGTACGTTTAAAAACAGGGTCTACTCATATTGGTTTCAATATTATGAAGTGTTCATTGAATTGGTAGGTTAAGCTTGTGGAAATGGAGGAATTTATATATCTTAAAATATGTTTTGAAAAGCTAATAAATAAATTTTTCTATCTAATTATAATTGTTGTTCTCAGCTAAACGTATTGTTAGATACTTCTGGGGAAGGAAATCTAGTTTATGAAACTAACTCAGCCATAATTGGAACAAATATTAACAGGATATTAAATAAATATAAACAATATATGCAGAATAGTGACAGGATATTATTGCTCATCTTGTTGTGGCCATTTAAACCTTTTTCTTAATAATGATCAGATCCCCCAGTATTTGTTGATGCCGACTAATTTCAAACATAAGAAACTAGTAATGCAGATTTTTCATTGGCTACCCGGAGGTGCGACTTTATATCAACGGTTATACACATAAAAACGGCTCTAACGAGTTTGGTTAAACTCGGTATATCATGATATAATTAAGTTATCTTTAATATCATTCAGGTCTTTTCCCTATTGATGTCACTTTACGGGGCCTAAATAACAAATGTTCGACATGTCTTCCTCTTCCTCTAAGCACCATTAATTTCGTTTATTTTGAATAATTATCTATCATTCATTGTAAGGAGTTATGAAAAAAAGCTAGATATAACTTTTGAAAGAATTCCATAATTGAATATAGGAGGGAAATATAAAAATCCTTATCATGATCGAAAATGAATCTCCGAAAATAATAGGTATACGTATAAACTATCGTTGGAAAGCAGGGAATCTTGGAATAAAATAGTATCTAATAAATAAAGTTGTAAAAGGTAACGGAGAGTGGCAATAAAAACATAAATAATAATTTCTGAAATTAGTTTTCATAATGGGTGGTGTGTGTTGTTAGGTTTTGATATGGGGGGGTTGGTTTGTTTGGTTGGGTAGGGTAGTTTGGGTTTAGGTTATGTGGGGGGGGGTGGGGTGTTTGTGGTGGGTTTTGAATAAGTGGATTGATTGGGAATGGGGGTGTTTTTAGTGGGATTGGTAGGGGGGTTTGTTGTTGGTTGTGTTTTTGTGGGATGGTGTAGGTTGTGGTTAAGGTGTGTTGTGGGATAGGGTGGGGTTGTAGTGTGTGATTGGTGTGGTGTTTGTGGGTGGGGTGAGTGAGTGGGTGTTGGTAAGTTTTTGATGATGGGTTATGTTGTTTTGGTTTGGTGGGTTTTGGTTGTTGTG